GCATGGTGCCGCACTGTGTGGGGGTGCCATTAGGAAATAACAGCATCCCCACAAATTCTATTAAAGAGCAGCGCCCTCTTGCCTGGGAATGCATGCAATTTACATGTCACTAGACCCGCTACAGTGTGAACTTAGCTTTAAAAATAATGACTTCGATTTTCTTTAGTAATAGCATGGGATCTCCATGTCCGGGCTGGAAAATGTTGAACATGTGGCTTTGTTTATAAACAAAGAGTTAAGGTGAAGCTGGCCATAGGCAAGTTACTTTTTTCAATCAGCCTGATCCTTTTTCAAAAAGGCAGCCGCACGGAACAGCATGGTGCCGCACTGTGTGGGGGTGCCATTAGGAAATAACAGCACCCCCCGCAAATTCTACTAAAGAGCAGCACCTCTTGCCTGGAAATGCATGCGATTTACACGTCACCAGACCCGCTACAGTGTGAACTTAGCCTTAAAAACAATGGCTTCGATTTTCTTTAGTAATAGCATGGGATCTCCATGTCCGGGCTGGAAAATGTTGAACATGTGGCTTTGTTTATAAACAAAGAGTTAAGGTGAAGCTGGCCATAGGCAAGTTACTTTTTTCAATCAGCCTGATCCTTTTTCAAAAAGGCAGCCGCACGGAACAGCATGGTGCCGCACTGTGTGGGGGTGCCATTAGGAAATAACAGCATCCCCACAAATTCTATTAAAGAGCACCGCCTCTTGCCTGGGAATGCATGCAATTTACATGTCACTAGACCCGCTACAGTGTGAACTTAGCTTTAAAAATAATGACTTCGATTTTCTTTAGTAATAGCATGGGATCTCCATGTCCGGGCTGGAAAATGTTGAACATGTGGCTTTGTTTATAAACAAAGAGTTAAGGTGAAGCTGGCCATAGGCAAGTTACTTTTTTTCAATCAGCCTGATCCTTTTTCAAAAAGGCAGCCGCACGGAACAGCATGGTGTCGCACTGTGTGGGGGTGCCATTAGGAAATAACAGCACCCCCGCAAATTCTACTAAAGAGCAGCACCTCTTGCCTGGAAATGCATGCGATTTACACATCACCAGACCCGCTACAGTGTGAACTTAGCCTTAGAAACAATGGCTTCGATTTTCTTTAGCAATAGCATGGGATCTCCATCTCAGTGCTGGAAAATGTTGAACATGTGGCTTTGTTTACAAACAAAGAGTTAGGCTCCATGCACGGGGTGTTTTAATAACGCTGGTAACGTTAACTGTGTAAAGTCATGTTACAACATTTTTCAGCGTTTTTGTATTAGCTTTTAGCGGCGTTTTGCCGCTTTTTTTGTGTTTGCCTTTTTTAGAGGTTTTTTTAACAAAGTCCAAAAACACCTATTTACCGCGTCGTGCCGCGTTTTTCAGCATTGAAGCGTTTTCTTTAGCAACCAACTAGTTCTGGGCTTTTTTTCCAGCCAAAAAACATTGATTACAGTCTATGTTTGTATGGACACATAGGATAACATGCTGGGGGGTTTACTGGCTGTAGAAAAAGCTGTCAAAAGCCAAAAACAGCCGCTGTAAAAATGTCCAGTGTGCAAGGACTTAGGGTGAAGCTGGCCATAGGCAGGTTACTTTTTTCAATCAACCCGACCCTTTTTCAAAAAGGCAGCCGCACGGAACTGCATGGTGCCGCACTGTGTAGTGGTGCCATTAGGAATCAACAGCATCCCCGCAATTCTGATAAAGGGTGGCGCCTCCCGGTTTAAAAACAATGGCTTCAATTTTCTTTCGCAATAGCATGTGATCTCCATGTCAGTGCATCCTAGGGAAACTTCTTCATATTGCGAAAAAAATTATCTTCTTCATATTGCGAAAATTACGTTAACCGTGGTGTCCATAAACCGTGCTACACCTGTACATGATTAATATAGCACCAGCAGTTTGCGCAGCGCTTTACAAAATGAAGGCGGACATTACAGTTACAATACAATTTGGTACAGGAGGAAACAGAGGTCCCGGCTCTTCAGAGCTTACAATCTAGGAGGAAGGGTTGAGTGATACAAAAGGTAATAGCTGTGGGGGGATGAGCTGATGGAGGAAATAAATTGCGGTTTACTAGTTAGAAGCAGGATATGCCTCTTTAAAGAGAAAGGTTTTCAGAGGTCGGCTAAAGGTGGATAGATTAGGAGACAGACGGACACATTAGGGTAGGGAGTTCCTTAGGATGGGAGAAGCTCGGGAGAAGTCGAGCATGGGAGGAGGTGTCACAGGAACTAGAGAGTAGAAGGTCTTGGGAGGATTGAAGAGAGCTGTTTGGTTGATATTTTGAAACCAGGTTGGTGATGTAATTGAGGGCAGAGTTGTGGATGGCTTTGTAAGTTGTTAGTATTCTGAATTTTATTCGTTGGGCGAGTAGAAGCCAGTGGAGGGATTGGCACAGAGGGGTAGCAGACACTGAACAGTTGGTAAGGTGGATGATCCTGGCAGCAGTATTCATGATGGACTGGAGGGGGAATAGCCTATGTAAAGGTATTCCAATGATGAGGGAGTTGCAGTAGTCGAGGTGAGAGATAACCAAGGTGGTGAATTAGGAGCTTTGTGATGTCATTGGTTAAAAAGGGGCGTATTCTGGAGATGTTGCTGAGGTTGAGGCGGCATGATTTGGACAAGGATTGGGTGTAGGCCTGAAAGGATAGTTCAGAATCTAGGGTTACCCCCCAGCACCCTGGCATGCAGGGATGGGTTGATAGTGGTGCTATTGATCCTGACCGAGAAATCAGGGGAAGAGGTCCGTGGGGGAGGAAATATTATGAGCTCAGTTTTGGATAGATTGAGTTTCTGGAAGTGGTGTGACATCCAGTCTGATATGATATTGCAAGCATTCTTAGTGAGTTGCAGTGGACCTGCATGGTCTTATTGTGTTGGGGTGCCTTTCATGAAAGACCATTGCCACAACACCTCGCACTGCAAATGTGTGTTAGTCATTCACGTTTTCCCTGGACAGTCTTCAGCACTCATTGGTGCCTGCAATGTATTGAGAAGTTTACATCTGAAAACAGTTTAGTGGTTCGGCACAGCAGGGCTAGTCATTCAGTATCGGCATCTGAACATTTAGCCGTTATTTCAGTCTACTTGCTGAAAAATTGACGGCACTTTTAATTACAGGGCAGCATTTTAGAAACACGAACATGAAGAGCACGAGGAAATAGCATTTTATTCTTTCTGGGCTGTTAAGCATGACGGGAATAGAAGGAACACATTAAATGTTTATTATCAAGAAAATATAAAACATAGACAAAACACAGTCTGCCATATGTGGAATGGAATGGATTCATTCCAAATGGGTCAGACTAATGAAAGCAGATATTTCAGTGCAAACGGCTGAGAAGTGGGTTTCCTGTCTGGTGGTCACTGGCCCATGGGTATTAAAACCAGTATGTTGTCCATCATTCCTGAAGAATCTGTGATTTTCCAAAAACTGCCATGGCCTGTTACAAGGCAGTCAATAGAAGTTTTCAGCCACCGGTGGTGGACACAATAATAGTGATCACCTTATGGTCTCCAAGAACTGTCAAGGTTGCCATAGACGTGCAACCACTGTTGAAAGACCCAAGTGCCAAGCTCTCTTTCTTTATGGCTGTCTTTAGCTTATAGCAGGGATCTGCAAACTTTCTAAAGAAAGGGCCAGTTTACTGTCCTTCAGACTTTAGGGGGGGCAAACTGTGCGCAGTGGGCAATGCCCATTCTTTGGTATTAGGGGGAGAAATAGTTAGTGTCATTGTGAGGAATAGTGCCCCATTTTTGTTGTCAGTGGAAGGAATTATGCCCTGTCGTTGGTGTCAGTGGAAGGAATAGGGCCCCATTGTTGGTGTCAGTGGCAGGAATAATGCCTCAAGGGCCAGAAAAGCAAGCTAAGGGCCACAGATTGGAAACCACTTCCTTGTAAACTTTTAATCATCGTTTCCTAATAGAACTCTAGCAGTCCATAGCAGGATCTCCAGGCCTCCACACATATTGTTAGTCAGCTGTTTATGTTGCCTTGGAGCTTCAACATGAAAGGCCACTTTTGGCATAGATTTTTGAGCTTTAGCCCACTCCTCCCCTAATGCACCATATGTGTTACATTCTACAATCTCCTTTAGATTTACCCAAACTATGTAATATGAAAACCTACCTAGGTGCCTCCATTGGATTTCACTATGCGGGACCTTGTACTACGTAATTGTTGCCAGAAGTAAAGGGGGTTGTTCATTTAGTTTGTAGCATGGGTGTTGCACCTAAGGGACCAATTGTAAGGGTATGACTATTAAGCTGGTTATACACAAAAAAAAATTTGGATTTGGATTATTCATTCGATTTTCTAATGGGCTCAGATTGATGTACATTTTCAACTGCCGTGACAAGAAAATTAGAATTAGGATGAATAGCGGAAGAATGGATAATTTTTCTCTAACGAATTAAAATCTAACTCTGAATGTGGTTTGCGTTTGTGAACAATTGTACCTATTGTAAAGAAACCTGTCTGGGATTCCATTCATGTAGTGGGTCTTGAAAAATTTCACGGGCTTTCGAACATAATTAGTTGACTCAATGATGGCAGGAAAATATGTTCTGGCGAGCATTATTTCTACAGATGAAATTAGAATCAAAATCTAAGCTGTATGGCCATCTTTGCTGAACTTTCTATACCAGGGTTATTAAAGTGAAATTAAACACTAAAATAAATGTTGACAGGCAGGATTTTTATGATAGAAAAAGTCTATTGATCACTTCTGTCAGGTACAACTTTAGTCTTCATCATGTAAAAATAATGTATTGTGTTTTTGTATCCTTTCTTTCTTTCTTTCTTTCTTTCTTTCTTTCTTTCTTTCTTTCTTTCTTTCTTTCTTTTTCTTTCTTTCTTTCTTTCTTTCTTTCTTTCTTTCTTTCTTTCTTTCTTTCTTTCTTTCTTTCCTTCCCAACTATTTAGCTCCAAGCGGCAGAGAATGAGAAGGTGAGGTGGGAGCTGGAGAAGACACAGCTTCAGCAGAACATCGAGGAGAATAAGGATAGGATGATGAAGCTGGAGAGTTACTGGATCGAGGCCCAGACATTGTGCCACACGGTGAACGAACATCTGAAGGAGACTCAGAGCCAATATCAGGCCCTGGAGAAGAAATATAACAAGGCCAAAAAACTGATCAAGGACTTCCAGCAAAAGTGAGACATTTCAGTGTAGATGAAAAATGTAACATTCTAATACTGACATCACTTAAGCTAGCCATAGATTGATGGAATCTCAGCCAGTTCAGCAGGGACCAGCTGAGATTTGATCCATGTATGAGCAGGCTGATTGTACCCAAGTCGATCCATCGATCGATCTGGGTACAACCAACATGTCAGATTTTTAGCATGCGATTATTGCCAGCAGCTATTATCTCAGTACGATGGCAGTGGGATATATTAGGCAGCAAATTAACATGTTGTCCCTGAAGTTGGTGTGTTGAAAGCAGAAAAAAGGGAAAACATAAGGATTTGAACGCCTCTGACAAGGGTCAAATTGAAATGGCTAGACGACTGGGTCAGAGCCACTCCAAAACTGCAGCTCATGTAGGATGTTCCCAATCTGCAGTAGTCAGGAGCAACCGAAAAGGATGGAAACAAGCAAGCTGGCTACAGAATCATGGGTGGCTAGGGCTCACAGATGCATGCAGAGAGAAAAGCCTGGCCATGTAGTCCAGTCTAATAGAAGAGCTACTGCAGCTCAGATTGCTGAAAAAGATAATGATGGTTCTGATAGAAGGGTGTCAGAACACACAGAGGATCACAGTTTGTTGTGTATGGGGCTGTGTAACCCCAGAACGGTCAGGGCGCCCATGCTGAACTGTGTTCACAGCCAAAAATACCATGGGCACATGAGCATCAGAACTGGAGCATCAGAACTAGACCACGAAGCAAAGGAAGATGGTGGCCAGGTCTGATCATCATGTGGATGGGCAGCTGCGTGTATGTTGATTACCTGGGGAAGGGATGGCATTAAGATGCACTATGGGAAGTCTGATCCATAGAAGCCTTACACCTTACAGGACTTAAAGGTTCTGCTGCTGATGGCTTGGTGCCAGATACCACAGCATACCTTCAAAGGTCTAATGGCATCCATGCCTCGACAGCTCAGAGCTGTTTTGGCAGCAAAAGGGTGACCTAATCAATATTAGGTGGGTGATCATAATGTTATGGTGGGTGCATGGTGGGTGATCGTTGTATTTGGCATACTTACATTGGTCCAGTTTAATTACGTGAAACTTGATCAACCTCTGTGGAAACCTGATCTTCTACATTGATGGTTGTGATCAGCCCCCAGGCTGTGATAGTCCCTGGAGTTCATCTTTCCCTCTAATTTGATTCCTTTGGGCTACTGAATATACCATTGGAAGTAATTTGTTATACCAGTTCAAAAATATCTGTTAGTGCTGCCAGAAAAACATCTACTGTCCTGTGCATTAGCATCCCAGTGTAATCACCACCTGCCTGGAGTTTGCATGTTCTCCCTGCGTTTGCGTGGGTTTTCCCTGGGTACTCCAGTTTCCTCCTACTCTCCAAAGACATGCCGGTAGGTTAATTGGATCCTGTCTAAATTGGCCCTAGTATATGTATGAATGTAGGTTAGGGACCTTAGATTGTATGCCCCTTGAGGGCCACCCTCCCATATGTTATGGAGAGGGGAGGCATTCTGTAGTCCTTTCATAGGCTGGTAATGCTGCTCCTACTGTATATAGATACTATACACCGAATGAAGGTTGTCACCCTAGGACAAGAAGTGTGCTTATTGCAGGATCACCAGGTAAAAATAAAAGAAAATGAATGTAGGTACCACATCTAGGGATCGGTAAGCTGAAATATTTTACATTGTTGTACTTGGAGTTTAGGTTCATTTGAATTCAAGTAATCTTCTATGGGTGAATTCATTGGAGAGCTTCAGGTAGCAGGAGAACAGGTAACCTTCCTTTTGCTTTTATAGGGAAGTTGACTTCATGAAACGGCAAGAAGCTGAAAAGAAGAAGATTGAGGACATGGAAAAGGTTCACCTTGCTGAGGTGCAGAACTTACAGTCCCGGGTGAGTAAAGCTGCACCTGTGTGGGTCCTGCAGGAAGGTACTGTGACCTGCTAATGATCTGATTTGTATCTATCCAACCCTACTAGACCTGCAGAGCTTGCACCCAAAATAAACAAGAAAGACCTATCATGTTTAAACACAGTGGACAAGCTATATGGGAGCTGTCACATTACATGAGACTGCTGTGTTACAAGAGATTGTAAACTTAGAAATTTCTGGACAGTACTGAAAATCACTGTCATGTTACAAGAGAATTACACAGTTACATAGTTAGTCTGGCTGAAAAAAGACAAAAGTCCATCCAGTTCAACCATTAAAAAAAAAGTTATAATCCTACACCCACAGTTGATCCAGAGGAAGGCAAAAAAAAACCCCAGCAAAGCATGATCCAATTTGCTCCTGCAGGGGAAAAAAATTCCTTCCTGATCCCCCGAGAGGCAATTGGATATTTTTCTAGATCAACTTTACCTATAAATGTTAGTATCCAGTTATATTCTGTGTATCCAAGAAAGAATCCAGGCCTTTTTTAAAGCAATCCACTGAGCTGGCCAGAACCAACTTTTGAGGGAGTCTATTCCACATTTTCACAGCTCTTACTGTGAAGAAATCTTTCCGTGTTTGGAGATTACATTTCTTTTCCTCCAGACGTAAAGAGTGCCCCCTTGTCCTCTGTGATGACCTCAGGGTGAATAACTCTACACCGAGTTCACTGTATGAACCACTGATGTATTTATACATGGAGATCATATCCCCCCTTATGTATTATACATGGAGATCATATCCCCCCTTATGTATTATACATGGAGATCATATCCCCCCTTATGTATTATACATGGAGATCATATCCCCCCTTATGTATTATACATGGTGATCATATCCCCCCTTATGTATTATACATGGAGATCATATCCCCCCTTATGTATTATACATGGTGATCATATCCCCCCTTATGTATTATACATGGAGATCATATCCCCCCTTATGTATTATACATGGAGATCATATCCCCCTTATGTATTATACATGGAGATCATATCCCCCTTATGTATTATACATGGAGATCATACCCCCCCTTATGTATTATACATGGAGATCATATCCCCCTTATGTATTATACATGGAGATCATATCCCCCCTATGTATTATACATGGTAATCATACCCCCCCTTATGTATTATACATGGTGATCATATCCCCCTTATGTATTATACATGGAGATCATATCCCGCCTTATGTATTATACATGGTGATCATATCCCCCCTTATGTATTATACATGGTGATCATATCCCCCCTTATGTATTATACATGGAGATCATATCCCCCCTTAATCTCCTCTTCTCAGTAGATAATAAATTCAGTTCCTCTAATCTCTTTCCTCATAGCTGAGCTCCTCCATGCCTCTTATCAGTTTGGTTGCCCTTCTCTGTACTTTCTCCAGTTCCCCAATGTTCTTTTTGTGAATTGGTACCCAAAACTGAACTGCATTATCCAGATGAGGTCTTACTAATGATTTGTAAGGGGGTAGTAGAATTATATCTCTCTCTCTCTGGAGTATAGGAGACTATTCTGTGTTGTAATTTAAAGGTAAACTGCAGGCAGTTGAAATACATAGATATGAATTGCCCCCAAGGAAGGAGCATCTTCAGACTGATGAAGTCATCACTCCGCTGTTTCCTTCTGCCAGCGAGAGTTAGATTGATATCACTGTGCAGTGCAGTAGAGCCTATCGCCCTCTTTCCCGGTGTGTGTTCTGCTTTCCAGAATTACAGGAAGAAAATATACAGACAGATTCTTAGGAATGCATTTAATGTTAATAAGGTGTATATACCTGGCCTTAGATCATGGTTCTTTATAACTGCCTGGAATTTGCCTTAACATAAGCACAAGGCATTCTTCTTTTGCCCAAATTGCATGTTAACCTTTTGCCACCTAACGCATATGTGCAGCAGAAAAAAGGGTGGACTTTAATGCCCACATGCAGCATAAATGTGTCATAGGCATCACAGGATTCTGTGCTGAGACTGTTAAAGTCAGCTCTAAAGTCTGTACTAATGATCATGAACCAGGCTCCCGATCATGTGACCACTGTGAAAGTCAGTTATGGTGGGCATATAATTAAACAGACCTTCCCCCCCGGATACACGGATGTATAATTTTTCAGTAGATGCTAGATAAGCCCTGTGACTGTTTCTACTGTCTCTAAAGGGCTCTATTGCTGAGATGTCTGCAATGAGTCCCTAGGTTTGCAGCCATGCTGTACCCTTGGTGAGGGTCTCCTACCATCCCAGCTTAATTTTCTGTCTATGGTCTATCATAGAGAATATAACAGGGGAAGCTGGAACACATGAAAATGGACAGGCACACTTAAACTTCCCAGGTGGACAGTAACAGTTGTGAATTTTGGCAGGAAGATCTCACAGTTGGAGTATTCAAGACTTGAAAGCCAGGGGGTGGCTCAGGCCACCATGCTCTCCCTATAACTAAAATAAAACTTTAGGTGAACTAATCCATTGACCAAGTAAGAATGATCCTTAAACAGCCTGTAGTTGTACTGCACAGCAACTCAACCTATGGCCTTCTTCAAATGTTTCTGCCTAATAGGTGGTCAGTGCTAAGGCTACTTCACCTCCTACAGAGCTCTCATGATGAGGTCATTCAAAATTTCACATTTCCGAAGATCCTTTCATAAATCTGTAGTTTTACAGAATTACTACAAAGATCAACGGAAATGTGGTCACCATGTATAAAAGCTTTCTTGTATAGTCATCTTAATCAAGACCCAATGCATTTTACTCATTTTCCCCTCTCCTGTGGAGCTCTCATGATGACGTCATGAAAACAAAATATCACATATCCAAAATCCTATGATAACTATGTAACAAAAAAGGCACAGAATTTCAGAAATACTATGAAGATCCACCAAAAAATGGTCACCATGTGTAAAAGCCTTCTTGGATGACCATCCCAATCAAGATGGTGCATTTCACAAATTTTTCCTCCATCTTACTTAACTTTCTGTGGAGCTCTCATGATGCAGTTATGAAAACAAAATATCACATATCCAAATCTTATGATAACTATGTAGTTTAGTAGTTTATTTTCTGACAAGAAAGGATGCATAATATCAGAATTGCAATGAAGATCTATGGCAAGGTAGTCATCATGTATAAAAGCCTTTCTGGATGGCCATCTTAATCAATACTCAATGCATTTCATCCATTCCCCCCCCCCCCCCCCCCCCCCCCCCCCCCCTATCTTACGTGACCTCCTGCTGAGCTCTAATAATGAGGTAATGAGCAAAATATCACATATCCAATATCCTATGGTAACTTTTTAGTTTAGTAGTTTCTTCTCTCACAAAAAAAAAAAAAGGCACAGAATGTCAGAATTGCTATGAAGGTCCATGGCAAGGTGGTTGCCATGTATAAAAGCCTTCTTCCATGGCCATTCTAAACAAAACTTAATACTTTTCACTCATTCTCCCCCCATCCTTCTAGATCAAAGACCTGGAAGCAGAAGTATTCCGGCTCCTCAAGCAAAATGGCAGTCAAGTCAACAACAACAACAACATTTTTGAAAGTCGGACATGCCTTGGCGACGACCCAGTGTCAGCCGAAGACTTGGGTGAAAAACAAGAGCCGAACTTGGATGGCTTGAAGGAAGGTTTGTTAAAACATTGAAAGTCTTCTGTTGGCGGTTGAGTGACCCTCCTGACAATATGCATACTGCATGTATCGAGCACTGTGCCATTGCCAAGCGCTCCTAACATTTCCCAGAATGCCGTGTAACAATGTACCGTCATTTCCGGATGCTTCGTTGTATGGTAAAACAGGCTCATCTCTCTGTATATGTTTCTCACTGTCCAGATTGGGGGTTGTCTAAACATTGAATACGAACAGAAGGGGAAGAGGGTAATATATACATACATGTTTTGTGTTTTGTCTTCAATTGTAAAATCAATAAAAAGAAACTGTACATGACCAGACGCAAGGTGCGGCCACTTTAAGCGTGATTCATTTTGACATTTCAGAACCCAAGACGTGTCATGAGGACACTTCGCAATATGTGCTACTTATTGACTTCTTGAGTAAGAAACAATATAGTATATCTGCTTGTCAGTATCCAACTACATATCATAGAGTAATTTCAGGCAAATGCATAAAATCACCCTTTAGCTTTTTTATGTATTGCTTCATTGGTCATTAATTTTATTTATGTTAAGCCATTTAATAGCCTGAAATCAGGCTTGCAGGAGAAGTATCTGCTCTATGAGCTGCTGTGTAGGAGAGGGAGGTATTTAGCAGGTTGAGCTGGAAGGAGTGGGCTAAAGGCTAGGTTCACATTACTGAGTTTTGGGAACACACTCAAAATTGTGCGCTTTCCCGACACACAGAGAATTGCATTACCCTTAATTGTTAATGGCACCCCCAAGCATCTGCGGTTGGGTGTGGCGAGTTTTCAGAAAAAATAGTCAGGGACATCTCATCTGCATTTCTCGCACGTAGGGCAGCCTATTGAAGTAAATGGAGTGCCCTACAAGTGATGCAAAGAAGCGCACGTAAAACGCGCAGAAGAGTACCCACACTCACCTGCTCACCCTACTAGGTGTGAACCAAGTGTAATGTGAGTGTCATGAGTGAGGTGAGGATCACTAGTGGAGGTGGAACACTGTCACAAAATTTGCAGAACTACAGGTCTCAAAAAGTGTTGTCATTCTTAATATGCCATGCAGCTGTACAGTATGGCAGAAATGGTGGGAGACACCAGAGTATGGGGTGCATTTATAAAAAAATATTTGCAGTACGATTCATCCTGTGAAAACTGCTTGTACTGTACATTCATTTTGTGTGAATGGGGCCAAAATGATTGGCGTTGGGCTATTTCCTCTCCAGGGTGAATGTTTTTCATTCTCCCAGAATTGATTGAATCAGGAAAGTAATGCATTATGACCACAAGGTGGTGGTGACATATGTCAAACACAAGGCCAGTGGGCCAAATCCAGGCCCACTAGGCCATTTCATTTGGTTCTCACGCCTCTCCTGTAGCTTTGGCACTCCCCTCGTCCATGTCCCCACCTTGTCTCAGCAGTCAGTAGCGAAAAGGAAGACAAAACTCCTCCTACAGATCCTGTGACTCTCTGTGCAGTTGCAGCACCCCATCTCAGCATTCAGCAGGCTATGGCAGCTGATTCCAGCCCTCCTCTTGTCCTCCTCCAGACTCTGCACTTTCTGATAACCAGCTCCTCCCCCAGCTTCTTCCAAGCAACAGCTGTCCCTTTGAGGACAACCATAATGCTGATGTAGCCCATGATCAAATCGAGTGTGACACCCTTGGCATTGGTGATCACAGTAAGGCTCCGTTCACATATATGCATTTTGTGTGTTTTTTTCGTGTTTTGTTCAGCTCTTTTTTTTTTTGTTAAAGTGGAAGTTTTTTTTGTTGCTGGACAGAGTTAAAATGCGAAACACGGCAAAAACGCAGCAAAAACACACTACCATGCATTTCAGCAGCTTCTCCATTGAACTCTATTGTAGCGTAAACCATGTTAAATGGATTGTACTGCGTTTCTGCAAAAAGCACTAAAAAACACATTGGCGTGAACGGAGCCTAAGGCTAGGTTCACACCTATGCAGTTTCCGCGTTACGTTTTGTGTTTTTGCACCTGCGATTTTGCCACTTTTTTGATGCGTTTTGGCTTTTTAATTTTTTTTTTTCTTGTTGCTAGGCAGATTTAAAATGCAAAATGCATCAAAAACGAGGCAAAAACACATAAAATATGCAGCAAAAGCACACTACATGCTTTTCTGCAACATTTCCATTGAAGTCTATGGAACCAAAAACTTTACTTTTTACGTTCAAAAAAGTCTCTGACCCTTTCCAAAAACCGTACCGGGTGTGAAAATGCAGAGATGTGAACATGGCCCATAGGAAATCATGTTAAATTAGAGACTCCGCTCTCTCCTGGCTCTCCTCCTATCTATCGCAGCTCTCCTTCAGTGTTGCCTATAACGCTGCCTCCTCCTCTTCACTCCCTCTCTCTGTAGGGGTCCCTCAAGGTTCTGTCCTTGGACCCCTTCTCTTCTCCATCTACACCTCCCTTGGCCAATTGATAATTTCCCACGGCTTCAATTACCATCTCTATGCTGATGACACGCAAATCTATCTCTCTACCCCTCACCTCACCCCTTCAGTCTCCACTCGTATCACAAGCCTACTAAGTGACATATCGGCATGTATGTCACTCCACTTCCTCAAGCTCAATCTTTCCAAAACTGAGCTCTTATTCCCCCCAACCCGTGCCCCCTCCTCTGACTTCTCCATCAAGATCAATAACACAATCATCAGTCCCACCCCTCAAGCCAGGGTACTAGGTGTCATCCTAGACTCCAATCTGTCCTTTCAGCCCCAGGTCCAATCACTGACAAAATCATGTAGACTTCACCTCCGCAACATTTCCAAGATACGCCCGTTCCTAACCTCAGAAACCACTAAGCAACTTATTCACTCCCTTGTTATATCTTGCCTTGACTATTGTAACTCCTTCCTCATTGGCCGACCTCATTGCAGGCTATCCCCACTTCAGTCTATCATGAATGCTGCTGCCAGACTTATCCACCTTACTAACCGTTCTGTATCTGCCACCCCTCTCTGACAATCCCTCCACTGGCTTCCCATTGCCCAACGGATAAAATTCAAAACACTAACACTGACGTATAAAGCCGTTCATAACACTGCCCCAAAGTACATCACTGATCTTGTCTCCAAATATCACCCACAACCTACTCTCCGCTCCTCACAAGACCTCCTACTCTCTAGCTCCCTTGTCTTCTCCTCCCATGCTCGTCTACCGGACTTCTCCAGAGCTTCCCCCATCCTCTGGAACTCCCTATCCCAATCTATCAGACTATCGCCTACTCTGCTCACTTTAGGCGATCTCTGAAAACCTATCTCTTCAGGGAAGCCTATCCTGCCCTCAGCTAATACTGGAATCTTCTACTCTTCCAACCAGTCCATCCCCCACAGTTACTACCTTTTGTACCACTAGCCCCTCCCTCCTAGATTGTAAGCTCCAAGGAGCAGGGCCCTCTAATCCCTCTTGTATTGAATTGTACACTATAATGTCTCCCACTATAATGTAAAGCGCTGATCAAGCTGTCGGCGCTATATAAATCCTGTATAATAATAATAATAATAATAATAAATGGAATGTAGTGCGTTTCTGCAAAACGCTGCGGAAAATGCTTACATGTGAATCTAGAGTTAGTAGGAATTTGTTTTCTATGCTCATCTGCTCCATCCAGGGGTCGTGTTCCTGATTCGCTCTATTATGGATGAAAAATATTCAGTTGGAGAGAAAATAGCATATTAACATTTGTTTTTCCCCCGTTTGCACAGAACAAATGCACATGCAGTCTCACAGGGCGATTAGCTCTGCACATTTGTTATATATACATCCCTATGTGTTTTACTTTCCTATACACAGACTTTAACTGCTTATTACGCAATTTGGCTTCATCTCCATTGAAATTGTCTTTCTTCGTTACTTACGGTCAAAGATTCAGGCTTCTCTATAGAACGCATTGTAGCCGAGATCCACCGTCCGGTGTTCATGTATGTTGTTTCTGCAGAGCAATGTCACTTGTGTGTTCTTTATGGATGCATTCACACATGTGCATGTATTAACACACTTTTTATTTGTATGTTGGCACTCGTTGGGTTAAGACAGTCCTGTAACATTGAAGGTCCCCTAACAAGCCTCAAGTCACGGAAAAACAGACCTGCACAATTTTGGAGCAACACTGAGCCCCACGACATCCAGAGCATTCACATCTGTGCAGTATGGTGCAGTGTGGGGCTGGTCCGGCTATACACTGCATATGTGCATTGGGGTCCCAGTCAGTTTATATGGAATGCACTGCACTGCAAGTATGTTGCAGGACAGTTAATGCCTGCATAGGTGTGAATAGAGCCTACTTTTTATATATTAGTTTGGGATGGGTTGTCTAGGCTTTTTAAATAGGGGTATTAATATGTACAAACCTGCTCCTAACAGGTTTGTCCTAACAAAACAGCCAATCAGATTTTACTTTCCAAATCTAAACTTGCACTAGACCAGTGGTCTCCAAACTGCGGCCCGTGGGCGGAATGCTGCCCTTTGCTTGCCTCTATCTAGCCCTCAGGGTACTATTCCTCCCACCAAGAAGAAGGCACCATTTCTTTCACTGGCACCAACTATGGGGCAATTTTCCTTACACTGACACCAATGATGGGGCACAATTCCTCCCACTAATATAAACAATTAGGTACTGTTGCTCCAACTAATACCAAGGAAGAGGCACTATTCCTTCCTCTGATACCAATGATGGGGTACTATTCCTCCCACTGATACCAACGATGGGCACTATTCCTCCCACTGATACCAATGATGAGGCACTATTCATCCCACTGATACCAATGATAGGGCACTATTCCTTCCTCTGATACCAATGATGGGCAATTTTCCTCCCACTGATACCAATGATGGGACACTATTCCTTCCTCTGATACCAATGATGGGGCACTATTCCTCCTAATGATACCAATGATGGAGCACTATTCCTCCCACTGATACCAATGATGGGGCACTAGTCATCCCACTGATACCAATGATGGGTCACTATTCCTGCAACTGATACCAATG